CTGATGACAACAGGGCTCTCAGATTACTGGCATGGCATAAATCTGAATGAAATAGCATTCCCAAGTGTGGCCCATAGCCAGCAATCTGTGGGGAAGCCCTGTGCCAGTGGGGTTCCTTGTGGCCCAGTTGGACCCAGTGTTAGATGACGCTACTTAGCTATATGTGCAGAGCCCCAAATGTCTGCTTTCAGGCTGTTGTTATATTGTGCACTCAGTGATGCCTTGGCAGGTCTGCTCCTGCAACTTGCTAAATGGACATTTGCTAATGCGTATTCTTAGCTATTAAAATAATGGCCGTCAAAAAAAGGAACACATGCAGAACTCTTGGCTCTGCTGAAGTCGATGGCAAATTCTTTGTAATGCAGTGGGATGAATATTTAACCCAGAGCCTTTTGTTGTACCCCTTTTAGCAGTCCTGCTTCTGTGGTCATTTTGCATAGGCTTGTTCTTTATATGGGCTGACCAGGCTGTTGGCTGTTACAGCGCCTTTCCCAGGTACCTGCCTAAGGCACCTTTTTAATGCCTTTATGAGTCATGGGGAAGTGAGAGAGCTCTTTTGGTGCCTGAGGGAGGGGATTCATCTTGGGCATGAGGTGATTCCTACCAACTTTGAAAAACCAAAGCTGTCATGAAGGCGAGTTCCAGTGAGACTGCAAAACGAGTCCCTGTTTTGTATTCTTGTATCTGCTCAAAGGGTTTCACATGCGCAAGTTAAACCCCAGAGAGCATCCCTGTAGGACAAATATGTGCATTTTGTGACGAGATGGGAGGACTTCAGGATCTTGCAGTAATGGTCCTCTTGCCCGTGGTCACATAGTAAGTCACCAATGAAGCTAGAAATTGATCCCATAAACTAAGCAGTGCTCAGTCCGCAGACCCATGGGCAATATCTTGTTTCTGGTGCCTCATCATCCAGCCCACGGGACTTCCCATGGGTCCAAAAATTTGGTGGCAGGTTTGTGCTCACATGGGGCTCTATCCAGGCATCCAGAGCTGGGTGGAGGCAGCACAGGACTTGATCCAGCCTGCAGACAGGCCCTGAACTACTATCTGCCCCATGCGACCAAAAGCTTGAGCATCATGGCCATTAGTTGTGCCTCAGCCCTATGCTCTAACCTCTAGATGTAATCTAGAAACTCAGCTCTGCTCACATGCCTAAGCCTCTTTGTAACTCCTTGACACTGTTTAAAGGAAAAAAGTCTGTAGTAATTGGTCTGAACCTTTCATCTTTTAATTAACTTCTATGTACCATAAGTGAAACTCATTACTACTACTGCCCTGCACAGTATGGGATCTGAAATACTCAGTTGTGTTGTAGGCCACATAGTGCCCAGGAGTAAAAGGTTCTCCTTTAGTGCACATAGTAGACATCAAGGTTTCTGGAATAGCAGGGTCTATGTTCTGTCTCCACAAATTTCAGTCGTTGTATGTTGCCCCTAAGTGACATAACGGTGAAATAGTAGGTAGCCACAGATGGGTTACAGTACCTTTCCTGAGAGCGGTTTAAGGTGATATGTGCCTTTGAGTGAAGAAGACCACAAAGGAGTTCATGCTCCTTTTCTTTCTGCTGAAATGCAGCCTTCAGTAGTGTTAAAACAAAACAGCCATTCAGCATTAGCAGCACTGCACACTGGGCTTAAAAGGGAAATGAAGAATAACTCCAACACAGGTAAGTTTAGATGATTTTTTTAAAAGCATGACTGCAAAGTAGTTAAAAGTGGATTAAAACAGCCCTGCTCCTCTGCTCTCCTGTCCCTCATATTTGTTGCTGCATTTTTTACAGGGTGCTAAGTTTTGAAATGTGTTCTGTTTTACTGTGTAGGCTCTTGTACTGTTCATGTGGCCATACTGTGTGGTCATTGTTGATATCTGGCTCCAAATACTCCAAACCAGTCATTAGTAGTTTGGCACAGTGATGTCTCTGTGTTTTAGTACACAGTGTCTGTTATGCCAGGGTTCCTTAGCACTCTTTTCTGTGTTGTCGTGTCTCCACTACAAACCAACACAAACATTAGTGTTAGAATGTGCCTGCTCCTAACACTGCAGGATACATTTTTGTTCACACTAGATTCTATATGCATTTTCTGCCGGAATAGAATAAAGTGAAGCTAGTCCCTCCAGATAACTATTTATGTAACCTACCCTCCAGATCCCAAGTCCAACTACAGCTGGCTGAAAAAGTGTCCAGTTTGTAGAACAATTGGAGGGTTCTTTTTGCAGACCTGTTGGGTTCAGTCCTGATCATATTTTCTGAAATCTCTAGCAAACTGGAAGCAGTCTGAATCCTGAATCTAACTAGTAAATTTGACATGCTTGCCTGTTTGATAGTCAATGACAGATGAAACTGACAAACGTGTCAATTTTACTGAGAAACTTGAGTGAGTTTTCAGGGATCCCTGCCCCTGGTACATCCACCAAGGTTCCAGTGAATGTTCATCAAATCTGAGATGTTTCAAATGAAAAATTTGGGGCCTTCAATAAGCTGGCATTTTTAATGAAACTGCTTTATTGAAAAAATTCCAAGCAGCTCGAATTCCACCAGTCACTACCTATCTACTTTTCTGACTTAAGAATAAGCAAGAAAAGAAAAAAAATCTGGGGTTGAGAGGCCAAAGCATAAGAGCAAACTAATTACACATTTTATATGCAAATAGATTTAAATTGTTTCCTGCTTGCATTTTTGCTTCTAATTTACTACTTGCGCAACGGGAAGAGACTTTTGAGATGGGTGTGAGTTGGAGAAATGTCTAACATATTAAGCTGTCAGCGTGCATTTAAAGTGCCGGTAGTCAATTTGCATGCCATAGTAGGGAAGCAGATTAGAATTTAAAGCAAGAGTTAAAAATCAAGTTGAAAATAATGTTTTCAATAAATTCCCTTCTTGTGCAGCTAACAGTGCTCAAGAGTTAACATGATCTAATGCCTCTTCATTATTTCTGCTGTTATATTCTGCTTTTCCCACAGCCTGGATAGTGAACATATAAACTGACCAGTATCCCTTTTGCTAGGGGTGCACTGATAAAGATTTTGTTGGTAGATACTGAAGGCCAATTATTAACCAGCCATATAGGCCAATACCAATCCGATAGCCACTATGCAGCCTGGCAGCTTGGACCCACTGGGGTCTTCACCTCCCACCCTGTCTCCTCTCTCATTGGTGGAGGTCTAGAATTGCTGTCTGGAATTCCCCAATTCCAAATCCATCCTAGATCAGCCCTACCCCCAAACCAGCAGCTGCCATCTGCACTCAGTTGATATGGCTATTGTCAAAGCCTCTAGTGACGTCTTCCTGGTCAAAGGTCAGAACCACAACTCCATCCTCTTCCTCAACCTGCCAGCTGCCGTTTACACACACGTGCACTTCATGCAATCTTGTCCTCCCTGGTGGTTCTTCTTCTGGCTTTCCAATCACTGCTTCAATATGTGTTTTGCAAGATCCTCCTCATCTCTTCAGCTTTCTGGAGGTGCATCCAGTAGGCTCTGTTCTTCATAAATTTCTCTTCTCCTTCTACATCTGTTCTCCAGTAATCTCCTCTGTAAACACAATTTTAATTACCAGCTCTAGGCTGACAACTCACATACCTACCTCATGACTCCAGACCTGCCCTCTATCCAAACTAAAACCTCAGCTTTTCTCTGACTTCCTCTTCTGGATGAGCAACCATCAGCTTAAGCTCACTGTGGCCAAAACAGAGGCCTCAATCTTTCTCTCCTACGTCTCCCCAGGTTTCCCATGCCTGGTCTTCTCTTGATTACTATGGACAACTCCATCTGCCTTTCAAACCTCTAAACCAGGGCAGTAGCATTGAGCCAGCCCTTTCTGTAGGTCCCCACATGTAGGCTGGGTCTAAATGACAGCAGGGGTTGCAGCAGCTGCAGCTCTGGGACACAGGAGATACTGCCATGGCTGCTGTGTGGTTGGACAGGGCTGGGCTGGAGCTACCCAGTGCCTCCCCCACCCCCAGGCTCCCCAGTGTGTGGGGCAAGGGGGGCCTAACCAGCCCCTTGCAGGCTGGAACTCTGCCAGCCAGCAAAATGTTTTTCTTCTTTAAAGGAGAATCAATGCATTCTTAAAGTTTGTTTGTGACCCTTTTGTATATTCTTGCTATCCACTTTTGGGTCATCAGGGTTGAGAAACACTGCCTTAGATCACAAAGTGCCAAAGGGTGAATGCAGAGTGGAGGGGAAGCCAACCAATACCCCGGTAAATGGAGACAGAGGAGATTCTAAAACTGTTTGAGAAAGATGACAGTCTAGCACCTGGAAGGCTCCTCCAGATTGTGCCAGCAGAAGAATGAAAAAGAAGAAAGACTAAAGTGTTTTGTCATAAAAAGGTGCTGGTGACACTGTTCATCTTTAGGGTCTGTGGCATTCTACACCCTTTCACAAATGTAGTTGTCCAAGAACACCAGCATGTTCAAAGCTTTTTTCCTCAAGGACTGAAATATTCTTACAGAGAGGAACCTTTGCTCACATATCAATGAGCACTTCATTCTAAGCACTATTCCTTGCTGTATTTTTTCACTTCAAGGAGTAAATCTGATCAAAAGAAAGAGCCTAGGCATAAGTATTTGCAAGTAATTAGTTTGGATATTTCATCAGATAAAGAGGATCAAAGCCTCAGATTAGATTGTCAGAGTAAGAACCTTTGAAAAGTTTTCAAATGTGTGTAAATCCCATTGATTTTCAATAGGGCTGAGGCTTCCAAATAACGTAGGTACTTTTGAAAATACCATCTCCCTGAGCCTGTTGATTCTGTACCACAAAGTACTTAGCACATTTTGGTGTTCTGGAAGACCCCACACTGAGAAGCCTCATGTACATTTTACATCTGTAAAAAGGTGTAACCTATTAAAGCTTGAGTTTTGAACCTCCCTCTGTATGCATCTTGCCCATAGAAGTCCCACAACATTGCAGAGTATTGAATCTGCCAAGAAAATAGAACTTAACACTAGGATTTTGAGGTTTTTAATTTTATTTCAGTAAAAGAAACACCATCTAGTTTCAAACAGTTATATTTTATTAAAACAAGGGGTGGAGTTGTAGACCAACTGTTTAAGGGTATTCCAGTTCTGAAGTTCATAGCATAAATAAATCCTCCATCAGTATCATAAAATAACTTAGTAGATCTTAGAATAAAAACCTTGAAAATCAACATTCTAAAATACAATAAAATGGTGGTTTTAAATGTTTTGATTAAACCTTTTTGCTCTTGCACGCTAAAGGTGTTTTAAATGAGAAACTACAAGTTGCACTCTTGAAACTCAAAGGTATTTGGCATAGTCTGCAAGTAACTCAAGCATACAGCACCTTACATCTTCTTGCAATTTTTAGTTTTTTTATGACGCTTGTTTAATACGCTTTCAGCTTTCACTTCTTCTCCCATCACTTTTCAACTGCAGAGTCCACTTCTTCTGTCCCACACAACGTGTAGTTCAACTTCAGTCTAACCCACTTGACATCAGTTTGTTTTGTTTTTTGTAATCCTTGTGTCAGGGTAGGGAGTTACTTCCTGAGCAACTGCTAAAGTATTTTAGAACTTCAGTGCAATTTTGTTCAGTTTGTTTACATCCAAATGCCATCACCGCTCAGGGAGATTAACCACTGGAACCCACTGATCCATGTAGCGACTTTCACGGCAAAAGCACATCAGCTGACTCAGTGCTGGATCCTTCCACTGAGAAGCATAGGGGTTCTGGAAAAGACAGAGTTGATTTTAAAACAAAAAACGGTGACTGGTTTCAAAGGATTGGTGTAAAAATAATTAAATAAAGAGCGCTATTGTAATGCAACTATTCACATCCAATCATACAACTACCCTCTTTCCTTGAATTCATTTTAGTTTGCAACAGGTGAAGTTTCCTCAAGCCTTTTACAGGTTTCTTGCTGTCCTATCTGTATGCAGGAATATAATATTTAAAACCTGAGTGAGGATTTTAAGGGTTTCATGATATATAGCTGTGGTTGAGGGTCAGGGTATTTTAAACTCTCGTGGTAGATGCTGCCTTCTTTCTTGTGTCTTTAAGTTCTGTTTTAATTCTATTGTCTATTCATTATAGGGCTTCTCTCATATGTACACACAAATACACTTCACACACAACCTGCTCTCTTAACTGAAATGCAAGATTGTATGTCATGTTGACTGCCCTATCTTTCTGTACAAAACTCCCCCTCATGTCAATGAATGTTACAATATCCATCTCAGGCTATTGTAGAAAGAGTACAGCTACCAGCTTCCTTTAGGTGTGATGCACAGTTCTCAAGCATTGCATCTAAAACTGTCTCCCTCTGCAGGTCAAGAACTTTTAAAGGAACATTCACTGTTTTGTCTGCTTGTTTGACATGTAATTTGGCTGGAACAGGACTCTTTAGAGCTTGCTTTTTTTTCCTTAAGAAGAAATTTCAAAATAGGAACTTTACTTTTTAAATATTTTACCCCATCCCGACAGAATTGGAACAATGCCCCTGTTTTGGTCTACAACTAGCTTTCACTTAATAATACTTCAAGTCAAGCTATTTTATAATCACATCATTTAGAACCTTTAAAGAAAACCTCCCCAGAACCTGTAAAGAAAGTTCCTCCTAACATTTTCTGCCAAAAGCAATCCAACCTGCTTATCTAATCCAGTAATGAGGAAAGATAAATAAAAAATACCCCAGCTGCCGTAACAAGGTGACTCACAGGGCTCACTCCTGCTGCTGACAGGATCTAACATGTTTGAACATGTCCATAGAAGCGGGAAAAATCTCTATAATCAAGTCATGAGCAGCTCTGATGCAAGTCCTTGGTACAGGAAATAGCGTAAGTAGAGGAAAGGGCACCTCAGTCCCAAGTGCAAAGGGGCCTGATCCAAAATCCCAGCTGCAAATCCAAACTTGAGTTCAAAGTGGGCCGAGCTGAAACCCCTAAAGTCTGAAGCTTGTTGGAAACCCACTCTGAAAGGTTTCATTGAAGGCAAACCCAGCTGTGCTCAGGTAAAGAGAGGGGCTGAAGCAGCAAGTCATCTCTGTGCTACCAAGCCTCCTGTATTTCTGCTGCCAGCTGGAGAGGGTGGTCACTTGGGTGGCTACCCAGAGGGCTGACAGAGGCAGGGGAAACTGTCACCTTGCTGACTAACCAGGTAGACATGCATGTGCACACATGCCTTGCAGACTAATGTAGAGACACACACTCACGCACCTTGCATGTGTCTACCTGGTTAGTCTACATGTGCGCACACCTTGCAGACTAACCAGGTACGCACGCACACACCTTGCAGGTGAACCAGGTAGACACAGCAGGCGTGCCTTGTGGGCTAACCAGGTACATACACGTGCACAGGCCATGCATGGTGCAGGTCAGGGCAGGCATACAGCCCCCCCAGGTGGAGCCCCTTCCCTTCCTTTACCGTGACGAGCACGCAGTGCAGGTCTGCGGGCGGGTCCGCCCCGGCGCCGGGCCCCGGCAGGCGCAGCAGCTCGGCGAGGCGCGCGGGGTTGCTGACACGCAGGATGCTGATGTCGTTCTCGCAGCAGAAGGCCTGCAGCAGCGTGAAGTGGATCTGCAGCGCCACGTCCCGCGCGTCCTCCTCGTCGGCGGCCAGCAGGCAGAGCACCACGCGCTCCGCGTCCCTGCGGGGAGACCGCGCTCAGCCCGCGTCGCCGGCCAGGGACAAGGGGGGGAGGGGGCAGGGCACTCACACGTTGAGCAGCTTGGCCGCCTCGTAGACGCCGACAGTGACGCTCCGCTGGCTCAGCGCCTTGCTCAGCACCTCCTGCAGCGCCGAGCCCGCCGTCTCCATCCTGAGGGGGCAGCGCCAGCGCTATCAGAGCCAGCGGCGCTGGGACTCGAACCCGCAGTCCCCACGCGCGCGCCCCGCGCCCCACTACCTGGCCCGGCTGCAGCGCGGTCTGTCCGGCTCCTCCAGCGTCATCGCGCGCCTCGCGCTGCCCTCGAGCCGCGGCGCCGGCTCTGAGGGAGCGGGGCGGCCCGCGGGACTTCTCCTGCCAACACCCAGCCAACCGCCTCCTCCCTCATTTGCATGCGGCCGCCCCATTGGGCCATGCAAATCTGTCCTGTGTTCGACTTGACCCTGTGCTGCCTCGGCCACCGCGGGGGGAGGAGGGGTTGGTTTATTTCTTTTTTTCTTTTGTTCTCTGCTTGCTGATTGGACGGCTGGGAGGCCCGTGCCGCGGGGGAGCTGTCAATCATGCGCGCCCCAGCGCTGAGGCTTGTAGTGGGGACCCCTCTTGTCGTGCTGTGGGGAGGGGATTGCCTGGCTTGCAAAGGGGCTGAGGACTCCCACCTCCCCTTGCCTCAAAGGTGCTCAGCACCACAGGCAGCCTCGCCTTCCCCTCAGAAAACAACTGCGGGGTGCAGGGACTTTGCTCCAAGCTTCTGCGGACCCTGAAGGAGGCAGAGCGGGGGGGCGACCACACCCCCAGGGTCCTCTTCCCTGAAGTGCTACCCCTCAGATCCAGTCCAAATGGAAATCGGGTCTCAGCTGTCACTTCTTACAGACCAAAAAGCAGCGGCGAAGCAGAAATTATTAGGAACTTGTGGCCGGGTGCGTCGCCGAAGGAAAGTGGCGGCTGCGCGGAAATCAGCGGGATGAAGTACGGCAAACGGCAGCTGGCCCTGCACCCCTCAGATCAGCCCCCAAGTAGCTAGGCCTGCAAATGCTGAGCGCTGCAGCACTAATCCGTATGAGCCCGTGCAACGTTCGTCCTTTGCTGGCAGCAGTAGGGTTACAGATAGGGGGAGTGTAGCGCCTGGGTTCCTGGGGAGCTTCCAGTTTATGGGGCCTGCTGTGTTTGGGCTGGGTCAGCCCCAGGTTCTGAAAAACGGGGGCTACGATTACCTCCATGGGTCTGTGCACAAGCTGACTAGCAGCCGCAGCCCTACAGCACTTGGCTGCACGCTGCCTAGTGTCATTCCCTGCCTGCTCTGCAGCAGCTCCAGTCCTGACCCCCTTTTTCCACTCCAGCTACTCCATTGTGGGGTCTCCTCCTGCACTTCTAATGGCCAGCCGAATTCTGGAGCTCGACCCCCTTTCTAGGTTCCTTCTTTCCATTCCTGTTCCCAGGACCTCATTCCCCCAGCAGGATGTGCCGCTCATCCTTTGGCACCCTGAGATGAGGCAGGGCAAGAAAAAGACACTGGGGATGGGAGAAGACTGAGAGGCCTGAGGGAGTGTGAAGAGATGGCGGGCACTGGCAGCACTTCTTTCTCTTGGAAGAAGAGAAGCAAGGGGCAAAGGACTCAGGGGAATAAGGCAGAAGCAACAAGGAATACACTTGGGCCAAGGGAAGGGAGAATAAATTAGAAAAGATTAAAGCCTAAAAGAGAAAACAAAACTGGGAATGCAAAGGGCAAGCCCAGAGGGCAGAATTGAAGTGAACTCTGGGGTGTGTAAGCACTGCTCTCTACCCTGGAAGATGGTGCATGAGAGAGCTCTAGCATCTCCACACCCAGCCAGCGCTTTGCAAGTCTTGTCTCCGTCACGTAGGGTGTAACCAAAGGTAAAGCAATAGCTAGGAACTAAGAAGAAGAAATCAAACTCCTGCATTAAATGCATGGAGTCACTGTAAACCGTTCCCACTGAAGCAAAGCTCTCAACTCTCCCTCATTGTAGACACCAGTTCACCAGACAAAGCTGCCACCTCACATTTGTTATAGCAAATTCATGACGTAAGAAGTGCTGATTCATGAAACAGAAATGGCAGAAATCTTTGTACCTAGCCTAAAGCAGAAGGGCATGGGGGAGTCCAGAGATAAATCTGCGAGATGATATTTAAGTCATGTGCTCAGGGCAAGACCTGTTTAAAAAAGAACTCCACCACTGGAAATATAAAAGTATGTTGCCTTCAGCTTTGCCTGAATTTATTCTTCCTTAGGAGTGAAACTGCAGCAGCCTGTCGGTTGAATTCACCTCTCTTTCTCCTGTTGAGGGGAAAGCAGAGATGCATTTCAGTGCCCCATGAACAGCCATGTCATGCAATGGGCAGCTCTGGTAGGAAGAAATAAACTGCACATCATTTTAAGTCTTGCATTTGAGGGACTTAAACTCAACACACAAGTTAGAACCAGCCCTTGGCCCACTGTCAATTGCCAGTATATCTCTCTGATATACATGTGGGTGCCCTTGCTTCAGCACAGGTATAAAATTTCTATCATTTATGTTGCCTAAGTCAGAATTCCTTATGTCAATAATTTACTAAAATAAAAAGTGACCTTGCAGTGTGGGGTGGGACAAGTGGGAATTTGTGCCTGAAAGGAAAGACAGTGAAATGCAGGACAGCTGCATTTCATTGCGAAACTGGGGAGATCTGTAGGCTGCTTTAATCACAGATATGCCTAGTACTGGAGTCACTCTACATTTATGCTTATGTCATGGAGGACAGACTTTGTCTCAGTGATTCTGAATTCACTTCTGGATCTGAATGGTGTAAGTGTAGTATTGCAACCCCATGCACTCAAGAGTTGTGCTTTTAATGATTTTTTTAAAGTAATCATTGTGGGTTTGTTTTCTCTGCCTTCTGGTTTCCAAAACTGTAGACCAGCGGTAGGCAACATTTTTTGGCCAGAGTGCCAAAAAAACCACAATGTCTACCTTGGAAGGTGCCGGAGTGCCGATATGCTGGAGCCCAGAGCAGGTGTTTGCAGCCTCCCAGCTGCAGCTGGCCCACAGAGCCCATCTGCTTGCAGCAGGGCTTGCAGCCTCCCAGCCACCTGCTGGGAGCAGCCTGGGCTCTGTGGCTGGCAGAAGCTGTTTGGAGCCCGGGCTGGTAGTGGCGTGCCAAGCAAAATGGCCTTGCGTGCCATGCTCAGCACGCGTGCCGGGGGTTGCTGACCCTTGCTGTAGACTTTAGGCTACAATCATAGAATGTTTTCAGTTTTCCTCAGCAATCCTCAGTAGCAGATACTTATTTAGGGTTTTTTTTAATTGAAAACCTCCAGCAGCTGGACAAAAGCTAGATTCATAGTAGGATCTTGAAAGCTGACAGCAATGAAAACAAAAGACACTGTCATAACATAACAGTTTTATCTGTGGCTTTCAATAAGTAGCTGGTAAAAAAACCCCCAATGCTCAGCTTTATTTGTTTTAAGAAAAGCCTTTTACAATTGATAATTGTGCAGCTCTTTCAGCTGCTTATGCTAGTGAGGTGCCAAGAAGGAAGTGAAGAAGGTGGGTGGAGAGGCGTGTGCAGCAGGTATCAGATATCCTGACTTGCACAATGTGAGTTGGCCTGCAGCATCCAAGGCCTTCTGAGTTTCAGGGCTTCCAAGTGCTGGGATTAGGAAACGTCCTCCTCATAATGCTTTCAGGAACATGGGAGTCTTTGTCACCAAGAGTTTTAGAGTAAAGCTTGGGTTGTTTTTAGAAAGCTAAGTTTCTTGAGCCTGGAACATTTACTAAGACATGTTTCCAGATTCATACACTTGCTAATTGCATCATCTTTGCCATTCCTGAACTCTGTCCTGCAGGTTCTTGCCCTTCACAAAAAATATTTCTCTATGTTGTAATAATTGCATGTGACACAGTAGCTCATAGCTGGTGGAGGGTGTGTTCTAAAAGCCCAGGATTCAGGGTATGTCCACTCAGCAGAGACAGACTCTTGGGTTTGCAACCTAGATGCCCTACACAGCCAACGACTCCAAGCCTGAGAGAGAATCCATTCTCTAACAATTCCAGGCAGCTTGTTGCATGTGAGCCTTTCAGGTAGGATCTTGCAGCAGAGACCCTCTCCTCAAGAGAAATACCATTTATTTGGGTTTCTTTAGCTCATACAATTAAAATTTCTTTCCTGTGTTTTTATGCACTTTGCCACTAGCTTATCTGAGGGACAGGATGTCTATACTACATCCACAGATCTACAGCTCATGTACATATGCCCGAGCAAGCAGAACAGTTGCGCTAGCACAGAGCTCAGTCAGCCTGCCAGAGAATCTGTGTAAATACTAGGGGGCTTAGCTTGTGCTGAGCTTCATCCTACCATCTCCCTCTCTGCCCTTAATAGTACCTGAGCTAGCTAGAATAAAGGATGCTCAGATACAGCTACACCAGCTGCAGTCATTACAGCACAGACATACCTATAGGAGGAGAAATATAAGGTTGGGTCCTCAGTCTCTGTCCTGTTGAGCTATAAGGGAGGGATAGGACAGGGAAGAGGCAAATATGGCTTTAAGCCACTTTTGCATGAGACTATATTAAGCCTTTTTATTTAGCTGCTCACGTGCATGTTGTAGAGCTATTCCTAGGTAAGTCCAAAGGTGAAGTATATGTATAAATGTTTGGCACAATAGTGCACAACAGGCCTGTACACAGGGCTTTTGTTTTACACAGATATATGTACAGGTGTTGTGTGTAGCCATTGGATATATACATATCACATATATATATATGAGTATTTAGTACCTCCTTCCTATATGCAGCTAGGTGAGGGTTAGCCTAAAATTGTATGCACAGGTAGGTACATGAGCATTTTTTGCAGCATTTATTCAGGTTGCTTTGGGAGTATTACTTATTCAGTGGCTGAAACCTTTACAGTTGCAGTACAAAATAGCTCTAGCCCTGGGACATTCCTGTTTGTCTTTGTTTCCCCTGTGTTAGCTGAAGTGCAACACCCAGAACTAGTCTCAGAACTGGCAAGTGATCTTGTTCCATCTCCCCTGTTTCTTGTGTCCTTTTTAGCCAAATGATCATTTTCCTGTCACTTTTAGTCTTTGTAGCTTGGGATAATAGTTTTAACAAATACTTTTCCTGCTATTTTGCATGTTTGGGTGTGTTTCCTAGAAGACAGTATTGTGAAATCAGTGGAGCTGCACTGATCTACATCAGCTACGAATTGGAGCATGACTTTTTATCAGGTTCTATGGTATGTGCAAAGTCTGATGAAAATGTCTGAAATTGGGGCATGGCCAGAAAATGCATGTGCTGCAACCTTCTTCAACCCCCCAGTAGCCTGGGCTTCATTTTGTGGCTGATTTACTGAGGGGTGGTT